AGGGCTGCCAAAGTGGAGCACATGAACTTAACTGCTACACCACTGGGCCAGCCCCTATTCAGGATACGTTTTGATCTACGTTTTCCCTGGTTTATTGTTTGTCTTTTCGCTCTGTGTAGGATGTTCTGTTGGTTAGAAATGTTAGTTTTGTGTGGTCACAGAACATCCGCGTAGAGACAGAACCTCAGGAGGAAGAGAGGCGAGAGTGGGGAAAGTCTTCTGTGGAACTGCCTGTAGGAGGAGCAGCTTGGACAGAAGGCTGGTGACTGAGTTTCTGTGCATGCCAGTGCACAGCGATGCTGGCATCTTGTGAGCTTCTGTTTTGTTTTTGTTCTAAATTTGCGAGGCTCTGTTTTACAGGCTTGGTTGCAACTCCTGCTGTGCTCCCTGACCCTGGGCTTCCCTGACCACTGCTTTCCAGTTGACAGCTGAGCTGCATGTCCAGCACCTGCCGCTTCTTGCACATTTCTAAAATCCCCTGCAGTTTTTAGTCCAGCTGCATAGGACTTGGAAACTTGTAGATAAAGGCCCGTTATTTATTGCTTCCTCTCGAGAACCAAGCTGCAACATGAGGTCTCTTAAGGCTAAATCGTGCATAACTTCCTTGTAATAACAAACTTAAATGCCGAGTCATAAGAAAGTTCTCATTTTTCTCATTCTGGCACTTGGATTGAAATTACATTTGTATATTAATAAAACGAAGACACAGCACTCACTTGAAACAAGAGTTTATTTGCACCCCGTGCATCATGCTGATCCAGTCAGCCCTTGTGCCTTCTCAAGTGTCTGTGATGGCGAAGAGGTTTCCAGACTCGTTGCTTCTGCTAAAGGGCCTTGAGATGTGAGAGACGCAGGTCGTAGCCTGACATCTACCACTTTCCAAGGTCAGTGAAGTTTTCTAAGCCCGGATGTTCTTACCTGCAGAAAGTGAGGATAACATGATATTGTTTGTGACTAACTCTGCAAACAAACTGTACAACTGTTTGAAAAAGCCAACAGTTGTGTCATGATTTGGGATTTTTGGTGTTTTCTGGTTCAGGTTTTGGTTCCTAGTTTTTCGTGTGGTCGTGTGGCTGCTTCCCAACTCCTGATGAGTGCGTGTTCCACTTTGGAGAACCCAGGGCAGACCTTGGCTTTCCCTCACAAAGCTGGCCGTGAACGGTACTCTTCCAGAATTGTTCCACTTCCCTGGAGGAGTGGGGAGCCTTTAGTTTCTCTGCAAGTTCAGATCTGGGGTCTCTTGCTGTGGGGATTTTGCCAGAGAATCTGCAGTGCTTGCTTGCTGGTCTCAGGGCGAGCCCGGCTCCTGGAGGGAGCTCCTCTGGAGTGTCTGCAGAAGGCCTTTCTGACCCCACTGTGGGGAGGCTCTGTGGAGCTGAAGCCTTGGGGAGGGTGCTTTCACCAGGGTGAGGAGAGAGATTGGAGATGGTTTTGTTGTGATCTGTGAATCACCCTGTCCCCAGGTTTCATTGTCACAGCAGATCCCACTGTGATTTTAGCCCAGAGTGAGCAGAGCCTTGCGCATGGCCTGCTGTACTGCAGGATTTATGGTTGCCTCTGCTTGTCATCACGACTCACAGCGTGTGTATCTTGATTCGCGCTTTAGGCCTTCCCGCCCTTTACCTGCCTCCGGGGTCCTGTGCAGGGAGTGTGAGTGTGGTAGAAGCACTTGAAATGCTTGCATATGACTTTCTTTTGTTTCCTTACCTCCCTTTTAGATTTCACATTTTAAAATAGCTTAGAGAATTATGAATATTTCAAACTGTATTATGAATTTTATCAAAATAACTTCTATAGGCATATGATAGTATGTATATGTATTAGTGTATATCTATAAATGTTTTAATGTGTTTATATCGCATCATTGTTTTTCTTGAGATTCGGTTAATTAAAAACAGTTTGTAAGCTTCATCTTTGAGAGATTCGAATTTGAAATTTGACTTTGGAATAAATCAGTTTTACCTCATAACTTATTTTTTAATGTTCCATGAAATATGTGATCTAAAGATGACTTCTAAGAATTTTTAATGAATTAATTTGAAATGTTTTTCTCTTGACAGATTTGGAAATACAATTTAGAATTCATTTGGAGTATAGTCATATATACATATGTATATATGTATATATTTTAATTATAGTTATTACGACAAATTCTCTTATGGCAAAAAGAAATTTCTAGATATTTTTGGTAACGTTTTTAAATGGTATATTATTTTTTCCATCTAGTTTAGAAATGAACAGTTTTGAGTCTTTGAGAATGGCCATATCTGTGTTCCATAGAAGTTAGTAATTGGAAAAGGAATCATTGTCTAGTTATAATGACATCACTGGCTTACTATCACTGGGGTGTAAACTTTGAGTTTCCTTTGCGGCAGGAAATTTTATGAAATACTCTCTTGAAAACAAGTCATCATAATAGTAAGCTGTGTTGAGTGTGTGTGTGGGGTGAACTGCTGGGCCATGATGTGACTGGTTCTTGAGTCTAGTTTTCATTTCCACTGAGGTATGTGTAAGACTTACACCCTCTCCTTTGACAAGTCTTTCCTTGTTGCAACAGATTTTGTAACCTGCTTTTTGGTTGCTGATGCGGTGTTTCAGAAATAGGCTGAGCAGTGTGGCCCCCGGGCAAAAGCTTTGTCTTTTCTCCCCAGATCCCAGCAGAGTGTCTGCCAGGGTGGAAGGGTTGCTCATAAAGCGTTTCCCAGGTTTCTGTTAAAGGGAAGGCAAGGCAGCAGAAAGTGTTTTTTTCAGGGAGTTCAGCATAGCAGAAGAGTCACATGGAAAACAAAGGAAGTATAAGGATTTAGTGCAGTCTGGGTTATGGAGAGGGTGGGGAGATGAATTTAGCTACATCGTGCTGAGGTTTTATTCGTTTAAATACAGTAATCTTAAAATGGTCTTGGGAGTTGGTTATGTTGACCCAGTGTGTCGACCCACACAGGGTGAGGCGAGGCAGGCTGAGCTGTTTCTCACTGTCAGGGCTCTTTTTGCTGCCTGAGTCGGTAGTCTCCATACTGATAGAATGGTGTTTCTTCACATTCTTTCCAAGGAAAATTGCTTTATTCTCATTGAATGACAAGTAAGCCTTTGCTAATTTTTTTTTCTTTTTTTTTGAGTTTAGCGATTCTGTTAACTAGAGTAGCTTTACCTTCTTGTCTGTCTGTCTGTGTTTTTGAGGAGTGCAAAGATTGGGGTCAGGAAACCTTTATATTGTAATCAGGCTTGAGCACTTGCTTCTTTAACTTGGTTTTCCTTGTGCCTAGTTTTTAAGTAATTCTGAGGATTATTGTGGGTATTGAATGTTTTGAAATAGGCTTTTGTGTAACCAGATCGTATTAAGTGGTTCTATAATTTTGAGTAAGATACTATTCCAAATTGTAGACCTACTTACTATGATCTTGTTACATAAAGCTGTTGGTCACTGCCTCTCTGTGTAGACTGGCCCTGTGCTCTTTATTTGTGTGCATATGGGTGGGAATGGAAGAGGGAAGCCGCTTACCAGCTGGCTGACCCGGGGCAGGTCGCTGCAGGACCCTTTGTGGGCTCAGGGAGCATTTGTAGACTCTGAACCAAGGAATTGCCTTATTTCTGTTGTCTGGAACTTTGGTATTTTTAGGAAACACTCAGAAAAACTATGAAACCACCATCTTCATCCTGACATTCAGCCTAAACCAGGCATATTTTGGGTCCATGTCCTTTTGGGTCTTGACATGGGCTCTGTTAGACAAAGAAAATAAGAATTTTCTACGTTACAGTCATTATTGATATAAATTTCTTACCAATATTAGAGTTTTGGAACCAGAATGGAAATCAAAAATAGATAAAATAGAAGCCTGTAGCTTTGTTTAGTTTGACCTCAAGGCTGGGTAGGCTTGTGGGTTTTAATTGAAAGTAAGAAAAGAGTGGACTAGGAGAAGAAACTGAACATATTGAGAATATTAAAAGCCCAGGTTGTTAAATGTAGTTGAAGAGCTCGTGTTTTTGAGGAGGGGGGTATGTGAAGCACCCACGTTTATTTGGATAGAGTGGTTTGAGAGAAAGCCTTGTGTTTAAACTCTGAGAGTAAAAACATGTTTGACTGAATGTAATCACCATGTGCTCGACGTGCTGCCCACTTTGGAGCAGGCTCACATGCTGAAATAACATGAGCGAGGATAGACTCAATCAGAAGGTCAGTCAGACATGCTGAGTGAGCTCACTATAGCTCCTGGACTAATTAAAACAAGTTGACAAAATATTTTTGTAAGTATTAGCTTCCCTTTTTGTATAGGACTTAGTGTCGTTTGAAATTTTGTAGTAGAGAAAGGGTTTCAAAATATTTGAGAAAATTTCTTTAAAGACCTTTTGAGTTTTCACTCAAACACATACCCACCAGTTAATCAAGAAGTGATTTTAAACACTCGGAGAACTTGAGGCATTGTGTGGGCACCAGGGGGCTGCAGTTAGCCTTCTGATCACCTGTGTCCCCCCCTCCCTGTAATCCACACTCCGTGCTGCAGCCATGGGGAGGGAGCACGAACCTGATGCAGAGGCTCTGCATGTCGGCTGGTGGGCAGTCAGGGGGAAAGGCCTAATTGTGGAGCTCCTTGAACATATCTAAAGGACTTGGGACCTCAGTCTGGGAGCTTCTGAGGTTCCTGAATGTATGTATGATGTAATCATAGTGCAATTTTCAGGAGGCTGATTGGAAAGTGGTTATCAAACATTTTTGCTTGTGTATCCCCTAAAAGAATTTACAAAAACAGAGTCCTTGCACATTTAACATTGTCACACCCAGTTTTTTAAAGGTATAAATAAATGCAGAGGAATACAGTTTACAGTTTATTGTAAACAGTGTCATTTAAATGTATTTAAACAGAATCCAGATATGGTAACTTATTAACCATTATCAGCCATTTAAAAAAAACAGAAATTTTTACATTTTTCTTTATTTCTATTCATTTTTACCCAGAATTTGATCCTAAGAGTATTGTCCTGCTTGAAATTCTTTTATGATCATCCTATCATGTTTTGCTATAACAAAATATGTATATAAACTTAAATTTATGTTAAGCACTTCCAGAATGGCAGAATAAGGACTCAAGAAATTTCCTTCTCCATAAAAGGGATGAGAACACTGGCAAAAATGATGAAAATCAACTTTTTCAGAACTCTAGAAATTAACCAAAGGCTTGCAATAATCCTAGGAGAGTTTATTCAGGGGAAATGACTGAATCGTAGTAAGAATGGTGAATTTTGTCGTTTGCACTTGTCTTCAGTTTCCCACTTCCTCTCCCTAGCTCTGTGGTAGCTTTAAAACAAACAGCCTAGTCAACACTGGAGGGGGAGAACAGATCTGGAGCTCCCCCAAAAGCCCTGGCCCCAGAGAAGTGTCACTGTCTGACTTGTGTGGAAGCCCCTGGTAGAGCCTTATTCACAGGGCTTGTTCTTACTTGGCCTGGTTCACAGATGGCCTAGTGGTGAAAGCCGTGTTCTAGGGCATCTCTTGAAAACAGTCAGCAGCAGTTGTTTAAGATTTCAGTTCCCCTGTAGCAGTGATACCAGTTGGGGCAAATAAGAAGTGGGCCAAAAAACTTAAAAAGAATATCTTGGGAATGAGGTTGCCACAGAGGGCTTTGAAAAGCTCTGATATATTCCTGGTGCTCTAGGAGACCATGTGTGCTCAGGGAAGACCTGAGGAGGCCGTCATTCTCACCTCTGACTGACCTTGAGGCTCTGCACAAGCAGAAAGTAAAGGCTGAAACAGGGTTGTAAACTGGTAAAACATTGAAGGCATGCCCAAACACACACAGAGGCCCTTGGCAAAGGCTGGGAGACCTGTGAGTTCAAAGCATTTAAGGACGTCTCTGTCTAGTCATTAATTGACCACTAAGCTAATTCGGCAAAGACTTCATTGCCTGCACATGACAAAAAAATACAGACTTTGCAGTATTAGTGCAGGAAAGACACTAAACAAACAAACAAATAGCAGCAGCAACACTGTATCCTGCAAGGAGAGGGAATCTGATTTTCAGAGTTGCCACCTTATGTTATTTAAAAGATCCAGTTTTCAACAAAAAAGTATAAGATACTCAAAGAAGTAGGAAAGTATGGCTTATGATGTTATTTATTGTTTGCATCCCCTGTGTTGCACTCTGCACCAGGCACCTAACAGGTGTTCAGAAACATTATTTGAAGTGACTTGCATTGAATAGCAGCTGGTCATAATTAGCTGATTTTCAGAGACTCCATGTATTTTCTTCTGTAGGAAGTGTTTAATCCTGAGGCAAACCTGGTGTTTTTATTATGCCTCCTAGAACACTGTCCTTAGTAAACCATAGCTACTAAAAAGAAAGCTGTAGGTTTGCTCAAATGAGTGTTTATTAGTGTCCTGGAAAATTTGAAGGCTTGTTCTTTAGGCAGTTACATACAATAAACTTACTAAGAAAACTGACCTATTCAGAGACCAGATCACTTTGAAGTGTTTCCTGTAGGAAGTTTATCTTTATAGCTTGAGATTTTAAAGCATTTTCAGAATACAACTATTACACATTTTTGCAGATGTCCAGATCTCTAGTGACCTACAGTCAAGTACTCACAATCTCCTGTATTTGACTTCTTTGTTGTAACAACTCAGAGGAGTTTGGTGTGTCAGACTTAATTAGTTGGTGTAAAGTCTGCTCATCAGCGCATGTTGATTAAAAAAGTCTGGCCTCAAGTCCATCCTGTTTGCAGATGACAGACTTTCACCATTTTCATCATCCATCATCATGATGGAAGAAGTTCAGGGTTGTCATGTTCTGTTTTGATGTTCCCTGATTTATTCCAGGAGCCGAAAAGAGGAAACTGGAAATGCTGACGTCATCACACCTGTGCACAGAGTGTTATCAATATTTCCTATTTCTACATACTCATTTGTGTATATTTTTCTGTATTCCCCATCATTCTCTTTTACTGCAGTGTCTGAAGAAAGATGAAGTAACCCTGCCACGCTGGTGGCTTCACAGTCATGTTGCTGCAGGAGAAGAGGTTCGCTGGGTCCACGCTGATGCCATGCAGGGAGGCAGGGGCTGATGAGGATCGTAGGGAGCGTGGTCAGAATCCCCATGGTGAGGTTCCTGCAGTAGCCTGCGCTGAGCAAGCCAGCACTCAAGAGTGACACGAGAAAGGGCAACCCATAAAGTAAACAGTGTGTGCTGGGTGTTGTGAACAAGGCCAGAAACTGACTGGGTTCACATGGGTCGTGAGGTTAAAATTTAACTGTGAAAGGACTTGGTTAGCAAAACCATAACTCCCTTTTAAGGCCTAGTTTGGGTTTATAAGAAATCAGAGCCCCTTGTCTTTTCTACTTTGTGTTTCATCGATTTCTGTTTGCAAATGTATAAGAACATAATAAGCAATTTCCTTTGAAAGAGCATTTTGGGTTTTCTGTAGAGTACGTGAAAGTAAAATGCAGGTTTTTCTTGTTCACTGTGGAAATAATACTGTTGCTTCTGGAGTAGATGTGTTTGCATGTGTATAAAATTACATGGGTAAGGCGTGTATCTGGTTACTCATAGATAAGCTCTTGTACGTACATGAGTGTGTGTCTCATTTCACTTGGCACCTGTTATAAACATTTTTTCTTATAATTCTTATATATGAAGTTCGTGTATCTGATTACCCATGAACATGACTTTTTCTTATTAAAACAAGTTACCATTATAGTTGTTAATGCCATTAATAAAGGCTAGATAACTACAATAATCTGTTATTGTTGCTATTAAGTTGTTACACTGACGTTTCTTTCTTTCTTTTTTTTGCTGAAGATTATTAGTCCTGAATAACGTCTGTTGCCAGTCTTCCTCCTTTTGTGCTTGAGGAAGATTAGCCCTGAGCTAACATCTGTGCCAGTCTTTCTCTATATGTGGGTTGCCACCACAGCATGGCTGACGAGTGGTGTAGGTCCACGCCTTGGATCTGAACCTGGGAACTTCGGCCGTTGAAACAGAGCGTGTCAAACTAAACCACTAGACCATGGGGCTGTTCCCCACATTGACGTTTCTTAAGGAGCCATCCCAAGAAGATGGAATCACTTGGACTCTTGTAGTTGTCCGTGGTGATGTGATCCAGCAGCAGGTTCAGATTATGTGACTGCATCTTTGTCACTTGTCGTTTCTTAGTTCATTGCTCTTTTCTCTGCCTCTCCGCATACATCTAGTCTCTGAGGTAAATATGGGACTCTCATTTTTGTATTTGCCAGAAATGAATTCCCAAGTTTGATAGGTGAGGAAGGAGATTTGCTGTTGAGAAGAGCTACAGAGAGACAAAGCTGGGCCCACATGAGGGTGACAGTGCCCGGAGGAATCTAGGCTTTGTAGGTTAGAGCCAAGCAGAAAGGACCCCTTAGGAGAAGACAAGGCAGGAAGAGTTGGGAGGAATCCCAGCCCAGCTCACTGTGTCACTGTTTCACAGTGAGCTGGGGACGGGGGGATGCAGGGGAGGCACCTGCGTGGACCAGAGGGGCAAGGAGGACTGAGGACTGGGTTGGCTGGCAGAGCACTGAGCAACAGGAGCCGGCCTGAGATGTCTGAGAGGAGCTGAGTGAGAAACCAGTGAGATGGGAACAGGTAGAGGCTGTGGTGCTGTGAATAGCCAAATCTGAAGCTGAGGGAGGAGCCACGGGGAGGTGGATGAGAAGTGTGGAATGGGTGAGGCGAGCGGCTCCAGGACCGAGCGCTCCTGTGCTTGTGCCACAGGTGCCTCTCAGAAGCAGAGCAGGGGTGTGGCAGAGAGAGGAGCCCTTCCTGAAAGGAGCCATGTTTGTAGGGCCCCTGGGGGCAGTAGGTCAGCACCGGCATCCCTCTCACTTCACTCCCCTCTCTGGCTGACTTTGAAAGTCACGAGGAAGGGGCATGTTGGCACCTGTCAGGTGTAGACTTTAATATGTACTGGGTAAAACTGACTTGCAAGTTATGCGAAGAGGTAGTGGATGGGTTATGTTTTCATCATTTATACGCTCCTTGTTCCAAAAATAAAGTGGCTTTCCAAAATACATATAATAGTATAAGATAAATAGTAAATAAGTGACGATATTATTAGTAGGGACAATACTGCTAGGAAAAATAATGGACGTCCTGCATCATTACAAGAGGTAACTCACAAATTTGGCTTTCAGATTTGTTGCACACAGAGGCAGACAGAAGTAGTGGTGTGCTCGACAGTCTCCATCAGATTAAAAAAAAAAAACCCCAAACCAGTCACTTAGCCATTTGTAAGACATTGTAAAATACTGAGCAATGTCCATGGCAATATCCTTTCATAAATAAGACAGATTTATTAGGTCTGCTCATGTCATTAAAAGCAGTCTGTCCAGGGAATGAAACAGTGGTGCAGGTGACCGGCTCTGTGATGCCTGGCGTAACTGAGGGGTAGATTTTATCTAGCACCAGAGTCACACACCCAGACTCCTCCAGGGTCCTGGCCCATAGTAAGTATCTGGGTGGGGCTGGGGCGGAGCCCTGGCTGACCGGAGAATGCATGATGTACCTAAAAGGCATTTGGGTTTACATTTTGTAACGGAAAAACCCTGTACTGGTTTAATAAGACGCTGCAGGCCACACAGCCCCACTGGAACTCTGATCTAGAGGAATGTGTGCACACCATCCGTGAAGTCTCTTAAAAATTGTTTCAGTTGAACTTTTGGAAGATGTTGAAGAACAGTGAGTCACGGGTTATGTTCTCTGACAGGTACCTGGTCTGCAGGTGACCCATGCTGCCAGTTAACACGCAGCCATATGCTTTACCTGTTGGACAGACTAGGGAGGAGCTAAAGTCACTCGTCTTTTCAGCCGTTGGGAATCCAGAGAGGAGGGGAGAGGCCAGCTGTGCTCTGGCCTTGGGTCTCCAGGTACCATTTTGGGCTCACGAAGAGGGAAGCAGGCCAACATTTTGGGGACACTGTGCTAGAACTTAGATGATAAATGTGAATCACATGTAAAGAATATGATTTGGGAGTTTTGATTATGGCCACATTTTGAATATTTGTGCTGGCGAGGGAGGATATTGACAAGGATGATCGAAATCAAGTTCTGTAGTGTTTCAGAAGCAGCAAGGAGAAGGGTTTAAAGCTGAGGTGTGGCACCAGAGGGCGAGCTCGCATCTTCTTCCGGGGCTTTCACACGGCATGGCTGAACAGCTGTCCAGGCAGTTCCTCTGCAGTTATGTACATGCACTTGCACATATGCACACACACACCCCTGGTCTGGAGTTCTGTTCGTACCTTCAAGTATTGTGACTTGGTTCTGAGAGCTCCTGGACCTCCCTTGCCTTCAGGGTGAGTGGTTGCAGTGCCTGTGATGCGAGGGTGTTGTGTAGCTCTCAGTGACCCAGCACCCTTAAAATCTAAATCTCTAAGCAAGAAAAAAGACAGCCCTTCAGTTTATTTCCTAGTACAGTATGATCCCATTATATGCAAGTTGTATTATGCAGGTTTCAACTAATGACATAATATTAATGAAAGCTTCACAGTACGTGCAAAATTTCCCTGGACACCTTCCCCCAAATTATGCATCAAGCCATCTCATATTTTTAAAGCTAGTACGTCAGCTGAATTATAGAAATGCTTTGTTACCCAGTGGCATCACCTTTTCTTAGAAATGCCTACTAACCCTTGGCAATACTATGTGAGCTCCTGTTCTTTATAGAACTTCTTCAAGGATTTTGGTGACATTTGTGTTATTATTTTAACATTATCTGTTATAACTTAAATCCATATTATGGCTTTCAAAATAACATCCAAGTGTGCTAATACTGATGCTGAAAAACATGCTGAAAATCAGTAACTTTGAAACAGAAATGTGATAAAACACTGTGATATGCCACACTGTCAATTTATGAGATGCAACTGAGAAATGTTAGACATAATGCTGGTATTAGAAAGCACCAGTAAAACAAAAATACAGCACTATACTTCAGACTTAGGTGTTCTCAGGATGCGTTCCCGCATCCTGCCCCAGCCGGGGGATAGCTGGTCTTGAGTTAGGTAAGGTCTGCAGGAACACATCTGTGAATCACGTGCAGCCGTGCTTCGTGAATCCCTGTCACGTGCCTCGGAAAAGATTGCTTAGGTTGAGAAAGACACAACAAGGTTCTTATTTGTCTGACATTGAGGAGAACATCTGTAAGGGCTTCGAAGAAGAGAATTTTGAAGGTCACTCCTTCTACTTCTTTAGAACTTGTCAGTAAATATTTGGTGGATTATTTTTTTTTTTAAAGATTTTATTTTTAACTTTTTCTCCCCAAAGCTCCCCAGTACATAGTTGTATATTCTTCCTTGTGGGTCCTTCTAGTTGTGGCATGTGGGACGCTGCCTCAGCGTGGTTTGATGAGCAGTGCCATGTCTGCGCCCAGGATTCGAACCAACGAAACGCTGGGCCGCCTGCATCGGAGCGCGCGAACTTAACCACTCGGCCCCGGGGCCAGCCCCTGGGGGATTATTTTATGCATGCCCCTTGCTTTGTTTGTTGTGGGGAGAAATACACTTCTTCCACCTGCTTAGGTTTGGAGAAGTGAGAATGGTCACCTCATTGTAGCTTTGCTCTGAACGCATTCAAAGTCCTTTGTTTTTTACATCATGACAGAAAGTGATAGGACTTTTAATAACAATTGCTTGTATTTAAATGGTGCTTATTATGTGACAAGCACTGTTCAAACTGCCTTAATAACTCCTTGTACCCTCATGGCAAGCCTTTGAGGTAGGTCGTATTACTCCTGGCATTTCACAGGTAAGAAAACAGAAGCACAGGGAGGTTAGGTGACTTGCCAGAGGTCTTAAAATTGGTAAGCTGCAGAACTGAGAGATCTGCATTCTCAGTCACCATGCTCTGGGGCCTCTTAGGAGGCTGGAGATGAGGATCTTATGTCAGAAACTTCATGCCCTGAGGGGAACTTGCTCTGCAAGCAAGGGGATGTGTTCCCCTGTAAGAGGAGTTATTGCATGTAAGAGATCTGTGTGGTAAAATCGTTGTTCAGAACCCTCATCTTTGCTTTTGGTAACAGATGCTGGAGGAGGGTAGAGTAGGCTGTGGTAAGTTTGAGGATGTGAGGATGGGGCTGGGCCCTGCCCTGA